TTATATACAATAAAGCTTATGCTAAATTTATTTACTGCAACTGGGCATATAAACTACGCCAAGAGTGCCACAATTTATGTTCAAGAAATGGAACACTGGAGTCTTAAAAGTTCTTGGTTTAGTGACTGCTTTTATAATGGATCACATGCTGTAAGAAGAACCAGTCGTTATTGGGCGGAGCTTTGGTCTGATTTAGTAACAGAAAAAACATTACCGCGTTTTGTAAAAAGTAGAGGTGGCTTAACTCGAGGACGTGGACTTAAAGAAAGTGTCAGAGCTCTTTGGGTACTTAGTTTAAATCCAGTGCGGTTATACACGAAGCCATGACAACCCTAACAAGATGTGAAATAGAAACAACAAAACAACACAAAGAAATGGGGTTAGCAAGACGTGCAAAGAATTTTTTAGACTTAAAATTTGTAAAATGGTTAATGAGACGAAATCCATTTATATATCAAGACTCAAATTTGCATTCTCTATCAACAGGTTTTGTCTCCATCATTGGAAATGATGATATAAATTGTGAAAAATCTGAGGAAATAGGATTGATGATTTATAAAAAGTTAGACAACTTAGTAATCACCGATCTAAAATCAGACGTCGAGACCAAATAAAAGCACTGGATGTATTGCATAATGTAATAAAACTGAAAGAAGGCAGCTCTATGCATGTTAACCCAACCATTCTGTTTACAAGACTTGTTGCAATTGCACTAAGAAATGACGTTGAACACTATTTTATTTATGAGTTTAATACTACACCTCATGCGTTATTTAAAAACGGATTGATGAGGAAACCAGATAAATCATCACTGCAGAAATTACTTTTACCTAACGAGGCTCAATGCAAGTAGATGAAATAAAAGCTAAATTTGTCAGATTCGTAATTGATGGGGGAGCTTTGATACATCGAGTAAGATGGGTAAAAGGATTAAATTTTGGCGATATTTGCAAGTTGTACTTAACATAAATCAAATGCGATTACGGTGTACTAAGTGTCGTGTTTGATGGATATGAAACATTTTCAACAAAATCAAATGAGCATGCTAGAAGGCAAGAAGGAAAAAATACTCATCTGATTAATGTGTATGATGATAATACATTGCTGTTTGGCCAGTAGCGTTTATATTATTTTTTAGCAAGATACAAGGACTACTAAAAGGAAGGACACACAAAGTCGATTTCCTGACTCCGCTAGCAAAGGCCAGTCAATATTTCTCACTTAACTCCTAAATAACTAAAATTGGCTTAAACAACGTTTTATAAAATCAAAATTCTGAAATACGATTAAAATAGTTTTACGTTATTGTTAATAACAAAATCAAAACTTATTTTAAAAAGCTTAAAAGATCGATATAAAAAACATCTATAAAAAAACAAAGAACATATTATTGACACAATTTATTTATAAAGAAATAAACATATAAACATCATATTCTCTAGAGACTTTAACAATATTAAAACTTTTTTTTTTTTTAAACATATGAACTTAATATAACTTCGTAAAGAAATAAACAATACAATATCTTTTAAGTAAAAAATCTAAAAAGAAAGATTCACTACTCAGCAAGGCGTGCTTAATTGATGTCTGATAAAGACATGCATTTTTTGCTTGGTCTTTATCCAAATTCTGAATTCCATGCAGAAGAACATTTGCCAAATGCCTAAAAAGACTCTTTGATGATAAACCAAAATCATAATATGTGTCCATTATAGATAGTGTTTTTCTACAACATGCTCTATGCTCTGTTTTTTTCACAAAGCATAAACTAATTCTAACTAGCTGATAAGTACACTCATGTGGAACCCTTGAAACTTCTTCGATAAAGTCTTTAGCTTCATTTGTTAGTTCAGGTTCATCATCTAGATAAACTAGTTCATCTTCACATTTTTTCTCAAGCCATCCTGCTACATAGGCAGCAGAGCTCTCTTCAGTTTAAGAAAGACTCACATCATAAATGCATGTTTCAATTGAGGTTGCATCTTCAATACTTATTGGACCCTCACATATGTGACCTTTTTTATTGGGTTGTCCTACTTCCACTGATTCTAAAAATGATGCAGCAAATCTAGCTAAACGCTTTTTAAAAGCAGAGAAAGCATCACCAGCTGCCATAAAAGCATTTGCCCCTGTTGATTGTCTATAAACTGAAATTTTTTTTTTTATTCTATCATTTTGTAGCTCACGAAGCAAAACATAATCAAAACCAACTGAAAACAAATGTTTGCAGAGAGTTATCAATCCTTTAGTAGTTTGCACAAGGGGTTTTTTGGTATCATGGGTAACACACTGAACTCGTTTAGGCCCATGCCCTGATTCCATACATTTAAATATATCTATAAAGATTATTTGAATTTTTATCTTGCACAGATTGGTTGTGATCTCTCAACCTAACATCCTGCCCTTTTTCAGAAACATTAACAATATTCCACCAATCTAAAATCTGCTGGATAAAAGAGGATGTTTCATAAGCTCCTTTTAGTTTAAGGGAAGCTACTACTTTCTCATTAAACACTCTTAAAACATGCTGCACATTCTGTAGTTAAAGTCTCGAAGGATAGACAGCAGCATAGGATATAGGAACTATTTTTAAAATGTTCTTTTTCTCGTATTGATATAGAATTTTCACATCTGAAAAGGAAGCTATAGTTTTATTATCGAGAGATAATAAAACTATAGCTTTTGACACTTTTCAGAAATCCAGTTATTGCGAATACATTTAAGTAGATGAACTGTGTCAAATAAAAGAAACCAAACACGCTGATTGTCTAATGAATGAATGGCCTGATAGTCAGTTATTCTGTTAAAAATTTTGCAGTATTGCTGATTGATTTTATGATTATCGGTTACAGATCCTAAAACTATTGCACCATGTTTTTCAACTATAATAGCAGCTTCTTTCACAACAATGAACTGATACAATGATGTTAGTTTGTGAACAGGGTTAACAGAAATCATTAAACTAGGTCCACCATGTAAGCATTTCATCATGACACATAGCATAGATGTTGCTTTGGATTCTGGATCATTTCTTGCCATTCCATTTAAAACTCCACACGAATAAGCAACTGTTGGCCTAATTTTTACCTCGTCAACTATCAAAATAACATTTTTCTGTTGATTATTCTAAACATTTTCAAATGTTTTTTGTAAAAAATGGTCAACGTTAGTGGCAGAAATTATACACTGAAGCTTTCGTTTACTTGGAAGGACTAAAAAATCACGAAGTTGATCGTAGTTGCAGTTATAAAAAGACTCGATTGCAAAGCAATAATCAGCTATAGAGAAACTTTTTTTAGACAAGAGTTTGAGTTGCCTTGTAATAAAATTCAATTTTTTTTGTTTGTTACCATCATTTAATTCAAATTCATTTTCTGAAAGAGTATTTGTCACCTTTTCAATAACATCGTTAACATGTAGATTATAATTATGAACTAAATTGGTTGCTTCAAAAAATTGTGAATAGAAGATTAAGCCATTGTTTGGATTCAATATATTAATACGGAAATTCCATGTTTAAAAGCTGAAAAGGTTAGCGGTAAACACAAGGTACGCTTATCATGAACAATAATCGTCGCAAAACTATCTTTGAAATCTTTTGACATAAAAATGCATATGAATTTATCGTCTTGTCGAGATATTACTATATTTTTATACTTTTTGTGCAACTCATTGTCAGGATAAAAATCAGAAAACGAATTTATTCTGTCTTTTTTGATGAAATAATCCAATTCCATGTCCTCAGGTTTAGATTCGCGAGGCACAGGCTCTGGCATTGGTAAACAAAAAAAAGGAACATTAAAAATAGAAAGTGCACATGCTGGTCGAGTATAGACACCAGGCAGCTTAATCATTTCTGTATTTTCAGGCCAATGTTTTTTTTACATATAAAAAATTTAGATGGCTTAATAATAAAAATTTTACGTAAAAGAAGAACATTAATCCATTTCTGTTTCTCAATTTCATCTTTCGGTAATTTAAAAATACGACACATTAAGTTTGTTACAATTCCCTTTACAATTTACAACGCCACATTTATTCACGATGATTATGGTTAAAATTTAAAAAAAATGTTACAGGAACGTAAAGAACACTTCAACTTTGATAAAAATAATGGCCTTCGCTAGCGGAGTAAGGAAATCGACTTTGCGCTTCTTTCCGTATAGTCCTTCCGTACTAGTCCTTGGCAAGATATTATGCCTGAAGCCTCTGAAATATGTTGTTATGCTGTTATTATTACTACTCTCTTAATACCTACTAATTTTATTATTAACTTTTTGTTCTCATATTTTTATTGTTATTGTTAGTATTGATATTAATAATATTCTTCTATCTTTATTAGTAAATTGTTATTTTTATTTATAACATATACTGTATAATTATTGCTAAT